GTCTCGTTGCAGAGAAACAAGCTCAGGGCTCTCGTTAGTCATTATCGTGAGTTAAAATTTTCACGAAAGTAAAATGTTCATTTTTGTGGCGCTTCTGTTATTTTGAAGGGATACGTTACCATAGCGACCAGAGTCAGAGCGTTTGGGCAATGGTCGAGAGGAGATGAGTAGAGCTTGTGAGTCTTAAGTCTGGTTTAGACGGCAAGACTTAAGAATTGTCGGCCGATTCTCCAAACCTCTGTGACCACAGAGCTGATAAAAGTACAACAGGTTCGATCGGTTCGTGTGTCCAAGGCAGGAGCAACACGAACCGATTTAAGTCTCGAACATCCCTATTCCAGAGGATAATCCAGTAAAACCCCCCAACATAGCGGGAATTTAGAATAACCAAACACGGATGACGATGTAGAAACAATAGTGATAGTTTGTAGAGTCATTTTAAGAGATAAAAGACGTAACAAAAAGAAAAGGCGGTGGATAAAAGACGACGGTAGCAGCCGCTCTATTTGCTGCACTATGATTTGGAGGTGAATATGTTTTTTCATAGTTAACATTTTTAACTGAATAAACATAAACATATAATAACGACCTTTACATAAAATAATAAACATTTCCACATATCATCTCCGATATCCATCTGACTCTCAGTTGCGCAATATGTCAGCTGTTTGGGATTCTCCTCTGTTCTGACATCACCGCGCTTTCTGATTGGCTACCTGTCACATTCAACAGGTTGCATTCTCGTTCCCAGCAGGGAAAACCCCACAGGCTGCGATAAAAGGGCCAAGACAACCCAAATAGGGCATATTCAGAATTTAGTGGGAATACCAACATGCATAAGCCTCATCTAACTGTTCATCCCCCACCCACTCCCCGGGTCGCAACAAAATTTCCAAGTCTTGAGACCAGTCCACGGTAATAAAAAGGTTGGGGACCACTGATTTAGCACATGCTAGTAGCAGACACGAAGGATCAGCACTTTTACTGTTACCGTTCGGAAACTACCGTAATCAGTTCAGTTAAATCTAAACTTGGCAACTTTTTCTTTTTCAACCCTAATAAATGTGATATTCAATTGACCTGTTATGACTCAATTTTTGGGTGTCCGCCCCCCTCTGCTGCTGCTGCATAGTTGTGGAAAACCTGGAGAGATATCTGCGGCTTATATGTGCACGTTTACTGGTTTAAAAAAAAAAAAGAAAAAAAAAAACTTTGGGGTTGTGGTTATAGGCCAGTGCGGCTCATAGTTCGGAAAATACGGACTATAATCCTTACTGGATTTTTTTCTGTGAAGAACCCAGAGAATGTTATTTGATTGTGCTTTCTGGAAAACAATATATTTTTACATTTAGTCTCTCCTGCAAACGTCACACTTTTTCTGTTACAAACTGACTCCGGCCCCCATCAGAGAAGGGACAAGTTATGTGGCCCTCACAGGAAAAAGTTTGGGGACCCCTGATTTAAACGCTGGAACCGGAAGACATTTGGAATGTCCAAGATAAATAATGAAAGCAACAGAAACAACAAATAAAATGAATTATGGAGTCTCTGTAAGCAAAACTGTCTTTCAAAAAAAAAGAAATAGTTGAGACCAAATCACCAGACTGAATACCTGCATCGTTCATTTTTAGGTAAAACGAGAGAGGAAAAAAGAGAAAAACGATAAATCAAGCAAATGAAAATGATTGAGTCTCTTTTAATTTATCACGCGATTAATTGACTTATTGTTTATTGTGACAGACCTAGAGGCAAAAGCATAAGCAAATGCACAACAGCACAGGCATTACCTTCACAAAAACAGAAGGATTCACTACTGACTATTGAGCTAATTATTGCTGCATTATGCTTCCAGTCAGTTGCAAACTCCGCATGTCTTTCGTTTGGCTGAATCTTGGTAAAGTACCATGCTGTTTGGAGGGACATAAAGCTTTCATTGAGCAAACAGCGGCCGGCCGGGGCCGATAACAGTAAAAGTGTTGGTCAACTGCCTAAAAAGCAAGGTGATGTATTTTGAAAAATTAAACAGTCTAAGCACATTGCCAAAGAGTCCTACACAGAAGCACTGCACCGAGCTGAAAAGGTCAAAAGGGGGGGTTTGAGAGGGTGGGGGTGGATTGATGTACACATAAATGCAGAGCTCTTCATCTGGACAACAGTGGCTGGCGGTGCAAAACCACCGTGTGCAACCAGCATGCAATTTCTCTTTTATTTGTGTCTGTTGGCTATCTGCTACCTAAAATCTGACTACCCTCCTGGCGTGCTGAAGAGTTCCTCCACCCAAATTCTCTCTTTTTGACACAATCACTTCCTATCCCTGAGACGCACAGAATTACCCTCCAGTGCTTACAAAGCATCTGCCTTGCTGGCTCATTTTATTTATTTTTTTATTCTTTTCATTCTTTTTGAAACTTTAAAAAGAGAAAAATCTACACACACTGAGAAAAGACCCTCATATGCCCATTTTTATCTGCCTGCACCATTTTTTTTTGTTCTTTTTTTTACTCAGTCGCTGTAGGATTTATAAAGGAAATGTCACAGCCACAAGTTAAATGAAGCATTTTTGAAACAAGAAAATACATGAGCTAGTACTGGCATCAATTCACACCGTGGTTCTAAAGCTTAAAGCTATGACTGTCTAAATCGAATGACTTATCATTCCTACTGCTTGAAGGAAATGCTAGAGAAAGTGTCAGTGTTTTCAGTTTGCAGCATTCTGTGGAGGCATACAGTTGTACAGGCCTGACCCTCCTGCACCCGACGATGGGAATGTAGCAGTTCAGGCAGGCAAGGCGGCACAATGCCATTAAGTGCTTTAAATATACATATTTAAAATGCATCCTAAAGTACACGGACAGTAAGTGCAGGGAGGCAAGAAATGTGGTCAAACCTTTGAGCAGCTAAAAAAACGTGCAGTAGCAGTCTGCAAACCTCGGAAGCTGAGAGATGCAGGAACCACTGATTCCTTTATAAAGTGCGTTGCAGTAATCCGGGCTGAGTAGCAACAAAGGCGTGGATTACAGCTCAGAAATGCTGCTGTGAAAGAATTGGCTTTATTTTCGCCAGTTCCCTTAAATGAAAAATAAAAAATAAAAAATAAAGCTGGACTCGACAGCTGCTCCGATGTGATTTTTTTTTTTTTACTTTAGACCAGCATCCACTTTGACATATGGGTTTGTTTCTGGTCTGACACATTGGGCCAGGGCACCAACATCCACATAGGGGGTCTCAGTAGAGCTTCCAAACACCATCAGATCACTCTTTTTTTTTATTGAATTCGAAGAAGTTCACATCCATCCAAAGCTTTTCCGTGATGCAGACATGAAAACGGATCATTCCTATGGTCCACTGTGTCAAAAGCAGCAACAGGGCAAAAGGACAACTCAATCACTGGAGTCAGTTGCTAAAAATATGTCATTTGAAACTTTCAAATAAATTGATTCTGTACTTTATAAAGATTTAATTCATCCAAGATCCGAAAATAATTAACTTGATCTATGCTAAACCCAAAGCTGTGAAGAAAGCTTGCGACTGACAAAATGTATTGATGGCATAAATACATTGATCCTGTTTTATTTGCTTATCATACAAAGCAACGTTAATATTATACATACGGCAAAAACTCACTGAAAACACTTTTATATTGCCCCCCACTCTTAAATTATATAGAATATACATACAATGTTTACAACAAAAATGTGATGTAAACAACACTTACTCAACAGTAAGACTGTGTATTGCTGCTGGATTTGAAAGTAAGCCTGTTTTGCTGCTGTTAGTTGTACAGTAGTGATATCACACTGCGTGTCGGTTGAACGTGACACTTTTTGTAAAATTGAAATCCAAGAGCTAGTGGATAATTGTCATGGTTACAATTCAGAGGGTACTCCAGCTGGTAGCCAACAAAGACAAAGCTGGACACTTGGAAATATATTTAGTCTAAAAAAGAAAAAAGAACAAAAAAGAAGAAGAAGAAGGAAAAAAAAAAGATGGACCGCCATGATGTGGAAGCTAAAAGTCAGTCCATCACTTTTATTAAGGAAAATCAGTTTAAAAGTTACGGCAAGCTACAAGGGACATTTCAGTTAAGCAGTTACCAGCAGTGAATTTAAAATAAAATAGAGCAAGAAGATCATGTTATGCATGTTGGCTTACCTTCCCACGCTTAAATAAGAACAGAAGAGGTGTGACATACATTCAAACAGCAAGTAAGAAGCAACAGATGACATCTAGGAGAACTAGGACGAGGCACCATGGGGGTAAAAGGTAGGAATTATAGGTAATTTTAAGATAAATGAGGCAACAGTATGCTGTGTGATACAGTTAAGGTGAACGTGGAGCTGTTGAGTATTCAAATGACCATTTCCACAGCAAAAAGGGAAGAAAAAAAAAAAGAGTATGCATTACCCCTAACAGCTTAAATAGCTTTCTCTAAGCATTTCAAGTACAATTTCCAGCCACTTAGAATATTAATAGAAACACAGGTGCAGGTGCTGCAGGCAAAAATCACATCCTGATACATGTAAATGTTTTGATGTCTTTTTGTTTGACGCCTCTCCTCTCTCTCGTCACAGGGGAATAACTCACCAAAGAGCAACTTGACCTTTATTAAGTTTGCACCCCCCAAAAAAGAAAAAAAAAAAGAGTAGTATAATGTGCCAGAATGGCAGCGTCACCACACGTGACAAGTACAGACATAATGGTGAAAATGGCACCACGTGCAGGAGTGTGAAAAAAAAAAAAAAAAAAAAAAAATCCAAGACAAACAGCACGGTTCAAACTGCGCCAGCTCTCTTGCCAGAAGACAGCGACATTGCATCAAAACCTAAAAGTCATTTTTGCAGCACTCTGCCATATGCCTGTGAGAAAACCTGTCTTGTCGGAAAATCTGCTAAGTCAAAATCTCTAGCACCAAAAACTTGATATGACCCCTGGTAACGGTGGCCTTATTAGCCTCATTCAAAGTCCCGCAGAGTGCATCGGGCTATGGACCGGCGACTTACCGGGTCTTTAGCTTGCTGCGCTAACACGGCGTAGGTGGATATCCTGCTGCAGAGGCATTTGGTGTGGACAGTGTTTGATGCTAGCGTTTGGCAGCCTTCTGTGCCCCAGTTTTCTGTGCCAGCTTCCCTGGAGGTAGAAAGCAGGGAGGGGTTTGGGGCGGAGGGGGTGGTGGGGTTGGGTGGGATATCATATAGGAAAGAGACAGTGACAATGAGACAATCGTGAAACTGGAACATGACACAGTGCGTGTGTTTCAGTGGTGAAAGTTTCAGTCGGCCGACACTCTTCATCACGTAGGTCCTCAAATTCATTAATTTTACACAGCACCATTTAGTGATTGGCCCATTTACAACGACACTTCTATTCTCTCTGTTTGCATTGAGTGCATAAAGAATTCTTTTTTTTTTGCTCTTGGCTGCTTTTACGCTTCCTTTTACAACTTTGTTCATCCTTTTCTTCTTTTCATTTCATACCTTAAGGTACACAGTAAACTGAATGGATCTGAAATTGAATTGAGGCCTTGAGGAGAAATATGTTACTTTATCAGCTACATGTTGATAAAAAAACAAAACAAAAAAAACTGTATGCACTGAGGTCAGATGGCACTAAACGGTCAATTGCTTTGACACACAGACACACTGAGGCGAGCACACAGAAACTCCCTTAATAGAATCTTGTACATTTGATAGCTTTGCTTCTCTTCTTTTTATTTTCTCTACATCACCATTTTTACTTCGTTGTAAATGTTCCTCACAGCAGGCAAAATGTAGAGTTTGATCAATAAGGCCGTCACTGAACTAATTATCCTCAAAGTTCACATTTCACGCTGACCTTATATTGAACCCCAGATATTCTCTGTTTCTACCCGTCAGGGAGAGTCGGAAACAAATCTTGAGGCAAAGACAAGATTGGGTCAATGGGTCCTATGTTCTTGTGTTACGGTAACATTTCCTCACAGCTTATTTTTCTTCTCATTAGCCTTTTTTGCAAGCTGAAGTAGATCAGACCTGTGACAGATGTTTGACCACTAATCTAACCTGCTCGGGTTGCATGCAAAAAAATCAATTTACAGTGCTTTGGGAAAATACTTTTACCTCTTGAACTTTTTCACCTAATGTCAAGCTGCATCCGCAAACTTTATTGTACTTCGTTAGGATGTGACACGATACAATAAAGTTTAAGTTTGAAAAAAAAAGAAGAAAAAACAACTAAAGAAAAGTTTAGCATTCAGCCTCATTTACTGTTATGCCCCGAACTAAAATCTAGAGATAGCAGTGGCATTCAGAAGATGACTAATTATTTTAGAAAACCCATCTTTGTGTGATTTAATCAAGGTGTAAATACAGCTGTGCTTTGGAGGTTTTAGAAGTTGGTTATAAAACAATACTCCAAGCTTTGAATGTCATACATGGCTTTATTCAATTCATTGTTTGAAAGGGTAAAAAAAAAAAAAAAAAAAAAAAAAAAAAATCTAAACTAAAGATTTACCCAGACAAGCAGACGAGCACTTTAACAAGCAGGATAGGCAATAAGGTAATTAATAAGAAAAGTGGCTTAGAGGCCCATAGTGACACTGGTGGGGGTGAGGAAATCTACAGCTCAGATGAGAGAATCCATCCACAGGAAAACCTTTAGTTGTGCACTGTTTAAGTATGGCCTTTATTGTGGCCAGACAAGAAAAAAGCCATACCAAGCTCCTTCTAAGGTTTGCCACAAACTATGCAAATCTATGGGAGAAAGTGCATTGGTCAGACGAGGCTAGTATAAGTAATTTTGTGGCAACATACACATTGCTATGCGTCACCCTGAACATACCATCCCATGGTGAAACATGGCAGTATGACAATACTGTGGTTCGTCACGATTTTCAGAGCTGGTCAGAGTTGATTGATAAATAGATGGTGTTAAAAAACAATAAGATACAACAAGCTGTGTTTAGTCTGGAGTGGAGGTTAACACATTTAAAACCGCTGAGGCTTTGAAAGGAAGAAGATGCAGTACTGCAAATAAAATTAGCCAAAAAAAAATTAAGATGTTTCATTTAATCAGAATGTACAATTTATGAAACTTCATGTAAAATACATGAAAGACGAAGCTCGGCAAATGCTAAAAACACTTATTTAAAAAAAATTCCACTCATGCAAACTTTGTCTTCCCAGGGAAGAGTCCATCTCCAACCGGACGAAACACAAGGTTACACACCGTTTGTTTTTTTTGTTTATTATCTTGCAAACAGGCGACGCAATCTGACCGTGTAAAAACTGGAGGGTGATTACACCTAGCAAGCTATAGCTCATTAAAAACTAAAAAGAACTTACGCAACCGATGCTGCAATATCTTCTGATTTCAGTATGTGGGCGTTTCAAAAGGAAGCAGATATCTTAGGGAGGTGAAACAGAGTACAAGTCATGCTAGTGGAATTCTTTGATTTAATTTGTTAAATCTTCTTTTTACTCTGCTCTGAGTGTAAGAAAACAACACTTTCCCTTGTTTTGCCTCCATCATATCATGAAAAGGAGGAAGCGCCAGTAAGAATGACACAAGCTGAAATGGTTCAGATCTGAAAGTGGGTAAACAGCTTTTCGTTCCCGCTTTAATCAGCAAAATACAGTTTGTGTTTGCTCGCTGTGTTGACTCTCTCTTTTTTTACTATTATTATTATTATTATTATTTATAAAGCAAAATAGCTGAAATCAAATCATTTTATGAACAGTATTGTGTATCCTGTTATTTTAGAGCAAATGTTTTAGAGGAGAATATAATCACCCCGTTCTGAGCTAGCAATAGTAATGAATCCCCACAGAATAAAATGGAGAGAAAATTGTTGTGTCACACCAGCCACACTTTTATTGAGCAAAATGGGGGTTTTTTCTGGACATCATTTAAACTTCAAGGGTCACAACTTTTAATAAAATATGAAGTTACTGGAGCTCCTGCTGTATGGAATACTATACTCAATATATTAGAATATCATCAAATATCTATTTTAATTAAAGAACAGAGCTTAAAAATGAGTCTCATTATGCACTGCCATAGACACACGGGGAAAAGACTGAAAGACGTTGAACGTTAAAGGGAACAACTTTGCTCACTTTCCGAAAACTTGGCAGGATTTTGATGCGTATGATACACTCAAACTTTGGTGAAAAATGTTCAGGGTCAGTTCAAGGAACTGGGACTGAAGATGGTGACCCAGTGTTATTCTTCTCACACTCGAGTATGAGTGAGAATCTATGTGACGCACCAGAACAAGTCCAGGCCCGCTGCCTGTACATCAATAAGTAACACCACAGGAGATTCTCAAGGGGAACTCAGATTCAAAATGTTCTTGTAATTTTTGAGAATTTTCTGTTTTCCCCAGTAAAGTGTATCAGTAAGTTTGATATATATATATATATATATATATATATATATATATAAATAAAAATAAATTAGGTCAACAGGTTGATTGAACCATCCATTGGCAATGCTACAATCAAACACATCCTGTACTTTTTCCAGGATTTAGCATTTATAGAAATCATGTTTTTGACTTTTGGTAATGAGCATCAAGTATTAAACCTTTGAACGTAGTGCTACTCCTACTTCATTAGAATTTTTTGGTATTGTGTCCATATAATTATGAGAGGCTTTGTTTTTTCTCTTGGTAAAATTAATTTGGAGAAGCCTATTAATAAAATCAGAAAATGCTTAAAGTCTGCAAAACTTTTTCACATTAATTTAAATAATTATTTTAGATTAGTAGACTGTAATAAATCTCTTCAAAGTTAATCATTCTTGAACCATGACAGGCTGAAGATGGTATTTTATGTTACTTTGAAGTTTTTCATTTCTTGAAAGGAACAACGCAACATTTATTTTTTTTTTCTGTCAACAACAGTAAAATAATTTTGATGATTCCGTTTCTCTCCCTTCCAGCTACGACAAAGAGTCCCACACACCCAGCTCGGCCGTGCAGGCTCCTTTGGAGAACCGGGTGACATAGTGGAGGAGACAAACGGTGTGATGCAAGTGAGCAAGCATCAGTCCGTGGTCGTCTCCGTTTCCCTTTCCCGTCCCGACACTTGATGCCTTACTGTTCAAACACAGGCGCCTGCCAAACTTCAGATCAAAGCCCAAAAGAACGGACAACTGAAGGTAAGGCACAACAGAGGACAGTTTTTCTGGAGAAAATTTGTTACGCATTTGTATTAAAATGCTCAGCACATTTTTTAGTGAAACATGTCATGATGATTCTTTTGGTGGCCCCTCTGGCCACTTGCTGCTCTATGCGCCGCGCATCATGTGCGTGGGTGGAGCTTCGGCACCGTTACTCCCAAAGGGATCCTGATATGACGGATTTCCCACAGACATAACGCACACACCGGTCTACGCGGTTGGCACACAAATTACAATGTCGATAATGAGATCTGAGCACAGTGCACTTCAAAGAGCCGAGGTTTGAAACCCCAGTCGCAGCAGCAGTGACAGTTTGACAGATTGCAACATGGTGTGTGGTGGTGTATGTGTCATTGTGTTTGTCAGAGAAAATGTACGAGAGAGACAAACAGAGTGAAAAGATTCATTTGTGAATCTTTTCACTCTTTCCCTGCCTGCCGTTTGGCCTGCTGCGCGTTCAGATCACCGTCTGGTGTTGGCAGGGAGTTTTCCAGCAGCTCCCTTCAGATGACAACACCTCACATGTGTAAGAAATAAATCCCCTCTTTGTTTCATAAGATTCAAACTCGTCTTCTTTAGTCTAATCAGATTGGTCGCTCTGGTGCCCGTCGGTAACATTACGGCTTGGAATTTAGCCAAGCGACATGTCGTCCGCAAACCTGATTAATCTTTGTTCTTACGGAGACCTGCGCAACATCGGCTTTCGCTTCGAGACCCGGTGACTCTGAGGATTACGACCTGGGCTTAGCTAATGGAGAAAGATTAAAATACACATTTGTTTCTTCCATTTGTGACAACTGAACTAAAACCCTGGAATTCTCCATGTGTATGAATGGATTCCTGTGAGTAAATGGTTATATTTCTCTATGAAGTGGCAACATAGTCAGTAATTTGTCCGTCACCTATTGACTGAGGGAGTTAAATACAGACAATTATTAAAGCCTATAGGTATTAGACATATACTAAAT